TTCATTACCGGCTGGCCGAGGCCCAATCTCCGGCCAGGCCGCGGGAGCTGCGAAATTCCAGCCGGAAAAGGGCCGCGGTTCGTCCGCTCCCAGTGTCTGAGTATCGTGCATCTCCAGAATTGTTCCCATATGGATCATCAACTCAGACACGGGGAGCGGACGAGCCGCGGCCCTTTTCAGGCTGGAATTTCGCAGCTCCCGCGGCCGGCCGGAGAGTGAGCCGCGGCTCAGCCGGCGATGAGCCTCGGCTCGGCCGCAGATGCCTCGGCTTAGCCTTATCGGGGCAGCTTCGGAAGCCACGTCCGACTTCAAGATTGGATAAAGCCAGATGTTATCCGTTGTTTACAAGACAACATGTTGATCTTGTTTCTGCCTGGGAGACTGGAAACACATCCAACGCTGTAGACATTGAGGGCAGCTTGATCAAGCGTCGTATATCACGCAAGTATCCTTTAAGCTAAAACACTAGGAGCGCCGAGCCGCGGCCTTCATTTGACATAGACCGCGGCTCGGGCGGAGATTTTTACACGGAATTTGGTCCGCGGCTTGACCGGAGATTCTTACACGTTACCACAGCTATCCAGGATATAGCCGCGGACGTTTCTATCCATATTGAGTGTCGAGGCGCCACTATAACAGGGGGGGGGGGGAGATGTGAACGTATTGTCATTTTTGATTAGGCTGGGCAACTGCTCACTGAGTTTAACACGTTGACGACCGTGTGCATCCGTGCGTATGCACGCCGTGACCACCTTTTAGCACTTTCGTGCATCAATTTATTATGTGCAAACAAAAAGTTCTCAGGTAACTTCTATGCAGTGCTAACACTGGTGACCTGGTTGTTATATAGAACACAAGGCTTTGCGGTAGCTGTTAAACAGTCCAAACCGCAGCCGTAGATCATCAGTACATTTTGAGGTGGTCAAAAATGGCTCGGTCGTCAACGTGTTAAAAGGGTAGGCTACTAGGGATAATGGGCCGCTAGTATTGTTTGCCTTGTAGTGTTTTGTTGTTCTTGCTTGTAGTGTTTTGTTGTCGTGCTGTAAAATGTTGACCTTTTTCCATTCATGGTAGCTATGTAGATCTTTATTTGGTAGATTCATGTATGTTTGCCTCGGTGATCAGCGAGTGCGCGAAATGCGCGCCAAAATCTATTGATCTCGTGATGGCTCCGCCCGATTGTTCAATCATTGCCTCACTCCTTACTTCCAGCCTTATCGCGTGCTGCCTTTGCTCATAGCCTCTTCGTTGTTTTTTTTTGTAGTTTCTTGCCGAATATTTGTCGTTGCGTTTATTTTTCTTTTGTAAGTGTTGAGTGTTGTGGCCTTTGTTCTGATAAAAGGCTTGCATACTGTGGTCTAGTTAGTCAGAACTGCGGTGAAGCGCCGCGTCGGGTATCTAGACCAAGCAAAAATTTGTTTTGCTTTTGCACTTTCGCCACTATCAAGTTCTGACCAAAGGCAGCGCATTAATAACGAATAACGAAGAGTCGCTGTTGTGCCAAATCACGTAGCGACCGGAAACGCGTGAGGTATGCCTTAGGCCTTAGGCTCGTATGCACGTACATTCCCGCTGGGGAGGGGAGGGGATCTGAGAGGGGATGCGTCATATCTCGCTACTCTACGTATCTTTCTTCTTCCTTCTCTATCTGGTTTATGAAGGTTCTCATACACTTATACCTGCGCATGATGGGTGCCAGGTTACTGGCGTGATCCATTAGATTTTCAATGGTGATCCCCGGGGATCCCTCATTTTCAAAGTGATTTGTCTTCCTGAGAAGTCAATGAAAACGCTGCAAAATTGTACTGAGGATATACTATGGCACTGTTAAGCATGTTTTCGACAGGAGAACTGGAATCTGAAGATTGCGAATTTTGATGATCCCTACGCGAGCTATGGATTACCAAAGGTTTCGATATCCCGAGCTTTCACTTATTTCTACTATGAACATCTTTAGCAGTGCCTTATGTTAGTATATCCACAGTACAATTTTACAACAATTTCATTGAGTTTTCAGAAAAATAAATGGCATTGAAATTGGGAGGTGATCCCCTGGGGATCCCCAGGGGATCACACAAAATAGTGAAAATCTAATCAATTATGCCAGTAACCTGTCATCAATTATGCGCAGATATTTGGGTATGAGAACCTTCATAAGCAAGATAGAGAAGGAAGAAGAAAGATACCTAGATCAGCGAGATATGGCGCATCCCCTCCAGATCCCCTCCCCTCCCCAGCGGGGATTTACGTGCATACGGGCCTTAGGTATACACAAATTTTTTTATCAAAGTCTAAAGCGGTATTGCGCAGTACCACTTTCTGATTACTTTTTTGCCGGTGAAACCATAAAACTAATACGATCTGCTATGCGAGGTATTGTTTGAAAACTGTAGATTACTCATCTTATCTTTCTATCAAAAAGGCCTATGTTTAGACGATTTCGTTGCTGGCACATTGTAGGCAAAAACGCCGAAAGGAGGATTAGTATCTCCTATTAAAATCAGCAACTACAAAAATAGGCTGTTTTTGCACCGCAAGCACATGATATGAGAGGTGTAGATGCACTTTGTATGCACTTAATTAGGTGCAGGTTGGTAAATTGGAGGTATAAGGAGGGCTCATTTAGTAAGTTTTATGTGTATCTTGCTCAAACTAACCTTCTCCAAGTCTGATACATCCATCGATTGCTTTCCTGTAGTCATCTAAGTAAGGCTTGATAACAAGTCTTGCTTCTGAACATATTGAATTTTCTACCAAGGTATTCTGTAGAGACACACAAATTAATTATAGCGTTGTTGTTCGCAAAAATCTGCATTTATTCAGTAGTTCTGCCTGCAATTATTAGTAAGATGCGCATCAATAACTGATTTGACCGAAGTCATTTCATTTCTGATTTGCGATATATTCCTAGCTCTTACTGTTCAAAGTTTTGATAATATTCCTGTTCGTTTTTCTTCGTTCTTACTCGATGACAAATTCAAATGAGCTACTGTAATTATGGTCTTACTCAGACAGTCGAAGGGATACCTCCGGCGGGCAAATGGCGCGAGTCAGGGCCCGGCACGAGTCGGTTTCTAGAGTTTCTGAAAACGAAGTCTACCCTAACTTTCAGAAAATTTACGAAGTCCTCTTTGACCTTGGAAGAAGATGAAAACGAGAAAGGTTTACTAATCTGAAAGAAAAACGTGAAATAAGTGTGAAAATCCCGATTGGAGCTGAATACTACATGCGCAAGTGTTTGGCATTGAAGCGCGATATTTAACAAAGTAATTCATGAAGAAATTAAGGCAAAAAACAAAGGAAAGGCAATGCTATGAAAATGTCTTCATGCTCAGGTATAGACTTTTGACCGGGGAATCCGTCCATGATAGAAAAATTCGAAACTTATGTGAAGTGACAGAAATATATGCACCAGACGATCTCAGATCGTCTGGTGGCCGCCTGGAGACGATCTAAATTTGGAAAAGGTACTCCTTCACATAAGTTTCCAATACTTTTTACATAATTCTTCCTCAAATAATTTTCTATGCTTACAGTTCAATTTTGGTGTCAAGCGATTCTGTGTGCGCTGTAAACAAGCAATTTGTTTATTTTAGCCTTGCTTTCAAATCGCGCGCACTTTTCGCCATACACGATTGAGCATGTCAGTCGTGTGGTAACCTGTCCAAAAAGCTTGTATTCGACTAAATAGCGCTTAATCTTGATGTTCGGCAACGATTCGTCAAAAACGATGTCCCCTTTGCTTTTTGCTCTAAAAACGAAGTCCAGCCTGCTTCCAGACGATCTGCGCCGGGCCCTGGCGCGAGTCTGTCACTTCGCGCACTGGAGCGCTCCGGAGCCCTGCCAATTCACGCATTTTCCTGCTCCCGGGCTCTCCCAAAACTGGCGCACCTCCGGAGAGCCCCGGAGCAGCAAAATGCGTGAGATGGCAGGGCTCCGGAGCGCTCCAGAGCGTGAAGTGGCAGACTCGCGCCATTTGCCCGCCGGAGGTATCCCTTCGACTTTCTGAGAAGATTGTCGCAAGTCAGATTGAAAGTTTGTTCATCGTGCCTTCGCTACTGAACTAATTTGCTTCTCCTATATTGAGCAAGAAGGCTTTTCGACTAGGTTATTGCAAGGAACATAGGTTTCATGTTTTGTAGCTGTACATGCAATTTCATTGATTTTGGCGAAAAAAGCATATAAAATGAGAATATGGGGCCTCTGCGAAACTGCAAGCACCATGTAATTTGATAACCAAAATTGTACACATTCAAAAGAATATCTAAATGATTGCTTGGATAATGGATAGTAATATTATTAGTATATTTTTTTCGATGATATTTTGAGAAGCTAAGCAAGTAGTTCGTGCTTTAAGCTATAACACTGCATTAAAGAGGGGATTTTACGTGGAAAGTATTTTTGGGGCCTTAACTAAGGCACTGCCCAAGCGGCAGCGCAGGTAGCGGCTGAGATATTCTCCTCGAAACTGGACCCCGCGATCGTATTTCGCATGGACTCGTGGCGCAAAGCGTGGATCCTGGCGCGAAACTGCCATGAATCCATGCGAATACGATCGCGGGGTCCAGTTTCGAGAGGAATATCTCAGCTGTTAGAGCACTACCTGAGCTGCCGCTTGGGCAGTGCCTTAGTTAAGGCCCCAAAAATACTTTCCACGTAAAATCTCCACAGTTGCAGATCTGCATGGACGCTGCCTTCAACACATTTTCATAATCAAGGCTTTAGGTTATATAGCGAATCTATGCAAAAATGGAATCAAATCAACAATTAGCATGCCATCACCTTCAGAAGAAACCATGTAGCTGGGTGGCAATGAGAAGGGTAACAGTGTTGTCTGGCGCAACCATCTTTCATAGAAAATTAGGATAACTTAGTGAAGAAAGAGACGCAGTGGTAAACTTCCCCAACAATCCTTTTCCTGTGTTTTGTTGAATAAAAATTACATGACTGTCATCGTTAGAAATCCACTAGGTTCACTCTACAGACCCCTTCGTTGCTTAGGACCTCCCAAGAAACATTTATTTCACAACAAAGCATGAGCGTGATCTGGTCTTGATAACCAGTTCAAGCCTCATTCATAGTGAACTCCTCATGTAACATGAAATACTTATCACCAGCTTTGCGCCAGATCTGTGTGACGTGTCCCTTGAATTTTGCACCTTTGTCAGTGTTCAATTCGCAGTCGAAGACGGCACTGATGAAGTCGCCAAATTGGTAGTAATGGTCGTTGGTGATCTGCGAAAGAGAATGCGTTTTGAATCTAGCAATTTCATTTTTGCCATTGTCGAAAACTCACCGTTGGCGTTGCTTTTCCAATCTTCTCTTTGTAACTTTCATGCTCCTTTTTCAAAGCTAGAAATAAAAGATTATCACGGTACCATGGACAAAAAGGTCTACTACCATCTCTTCCGTAAATCGCTGAATGTTTTCCCTTATCAATAAATACACCGTCGGGGTCAAACAAGTCGACTGCCTGAAAACAAAAGATTATTAATAAATTCTAGAAAGAGTAGTGAGGTGTCTTTGTGGAAGTTGTAGTAAGATAACAATATGTTCACACACATGTATCATCGCCTTCCAGATTCGTGTGGAGGCGGGTTGCAGACTTCCCTGACTTTTAGGATAAACTTGTTAAACCTCCACGTTATAGCATTGTATTTCGTACTCTCTCGTTGAGCTTATCCTTAAAATCAGGGAAGTCCGCAACCCGCCTCCACATGCATGAAGCCGATCGTACATGAATTAGCTTACTTTATCGAAGTCGTGGGCTTCGCGCTGCTTCAGGATCTCGTCAAAATAGGGCTTGATGATGGTTTTGGCTTCTGAAATGCATCGTATCCTTCCTTCGTATTTTAGCTGTCTTTATGGGTGTGTTATATGAGCAGCTTGAGACAAGCGCCTTACTTCTATGGATATTATATGGCTGTGCTTAGCAGGTTGCTGGAGATTACTTTCAGAGTGTATTTGGTCAAGACTCTTTTATTCTTCTTGCACACGGTCCGTCGGATTCACTCTTCTTTTCCCTAACATCAGGTTTCACAAAAATCTTACGTAATAAACAAGATTGAATACATTAGACCTAGACTCGTATTTTGGTATCCTGAAAATAGTAGATGGTTTGCGCTGCATAATAGACGTTCAAGCATAAAATTCTGGAGTTTAATCATCGAGATTCTTTCAAAAAAATGGCGCTTCAAATTTGCGATTTTGAGGGTGATAGGAAATCGCGGAGGACTGTTAGTCTTAACCTCGTACGGAAATGCAGAAAGAGAAAATTCGTAAAAAATGTTCTTCTGCGGGATAAATCTCTTTATTGTTACAATTTCTCTAAAAAGCCTAGTTTAATACTAAAAAGTAGACATATGCCTTACAGCACGGACGTTTTTTGATCACACTGTGCTTTCCTGAAAGCTGTAACAACATTTCTGTAAAATGACATTTTTTACGGTTCTTTGTATTTGCATTACTATACAAGATTGAAACCTATCGTAGTGACTTATGGACTTTTGCTCCGTAAAATATTTATAGGTTTTTTCGGGCTAGTCAGTGACCCTTAGCGATTTTCTAGCATCAACCTCAAAATCGCAAAATTTGAAAGTAATTTTTGGAAATTTTGGTCTCATATGGCTAAATCATGGAGTGTTACTCATGAACATAAACATTATTAAGCGCAAACCTTCTACTACTTCTAGGTACCGAACTATGAATTTAGGTCTAGTAAATATTTGTAAAGTTTGAAATTTTGTTGGGATCACGCAAGAACTTTCGCGTCAACACTCAGTCGGAAAGTACTTTGCAATTCCTTTGCATAAGAAAAGCATACAAATAAATTAGTCCAAAAAGTTCCAAAATAGAATACATACCGTCGGAAGACATGATGGCTGTGTGCAAACGATGGCTCATTAGCGTGGCTCTGCAATTTATGTACTTGAGGACAAACCAGTTTGAATGCCACGTACGATTGCGAAAACGGATTCACGCTAAAATCGTAAGAGAATTAGAGAAATTAGCTGTCATATTTCGTGCAGATTCGAAAAATCCAGTGTTAAGCCTACGTCTGCCACATAAAAATTCTGTAGTCTGTGCTATGTTCATACTATTTTACTAAAAACATGTATGAACTCTTTCGATCTTCGACAACGAACTGAACGCTTTGAATCATTCCACTGCTACAGCTACCATGTATCAGAAGTGCGCTGAAAAAAATATAAAAAAATCTGGTTTCCATCATGTCTAGAATATATTAGGCTGGTCCGAAAGTTCTTACGCATCATCTTCAAAAAACCATAACTTCTTCGCACCTTGATGGATTCCTCTGAACCTAATTTCATATGAAAGAACAGATCATGCTCTTTACAGCAGTGAGCTTTCGGAGAAATACTATGAGAAAATTCGAAAGATAAAAGCAATTGAACGAAATTACTCACAATTGATTCCTCAAGCAGGGTCATGGAAAATTCTAAAAATTTTTTCGTTCAACACGTTCGACCTTGTGCATACGCACGTATGCACGCCCTGACCCTCGTTTAGCATTTTCGTGCATCCGTGCATATACACGCTAGTTTTTTGGGTGTAAACGAAAAGTTTTCAGGTAATTTTTATGCAGTAATACTATTGGTGCCCTGATTGTCTTACAGAACACAGGGCATAGCGGCAGCTGAGTTTTGGCCGCGAAATTGGGTAGTGTGTCCGTTTTTGATGTGGTAAATACATGTTAATCACGTTTTTCCGAGAAGGTGGAAACTCTTTGCAGCTGTTTTAAAGGCAAACAAGGACGAATCAGGCAAAAAAACCTGTTATCAGAACGCTTTTCTCGAAAAAGGATTGCCCAGATATAGCCCCATTGCATGGTTTATTGGAGGGAAAATCGAGGCAAAAACCTTGATCTGGGTAAGTCCTAGTGAGACTTTGTGATGTACAAGTTCCTCTGAACAGTTTGCATGTTTTATGAATAAGTGTCAAAAAGACTCCCACATAGTGTTTTCGTGCATACGAAAAAAATGGCGCGGTCGTCAACGTGTTAAAGAGAGAAATTTGTACATTACAGTAGCACTTTCCCCATAGACTAGTATGAGATCGTTCGGAAGCTATAAGCAAATGAAGAGAAGTTTCAGTTATGCAGTTTTTAAACATGCTGAGAAAAGCTTCAAACGTAATAGCAGAAATCGAAACAGTCATAATTATGGGTTTTTTGAGCTCCTCTTTCTAGCTGAGCAAACTTTGGCCGAGAGCGCATTTAAATTTCATGATTTCTGGTTTTCGTGCCTGCATTTCTGAGGAAATCAAATCTGCTTTCGATCGCCACGAACTTCGCTCATCTAGAAAGAGGAGTTCGAAAACCCATGTTCATAACTGCTTCGGTCTCTGCTGTGACGTTTTTAGGCTTTTTCGAGCATGTTCAATAATTGCAAAGTTGAAGTAATTCTCTTCATTTGCTTCTAACTTTCGAACTATCTCATATTAATCTATGAGAAATCCATGCCACTGTAAAGTGCAACTTTCTCTTTCAAACAAAGATACTTCTAGAATTTTTTGTGATCCTGTGTGAAAGGGTGCCGATCTTGAGTAATTTCGTTCATTTGCTTCTATCCCGCGAATTTTTCATACTGTCTCACCGGAAGCTTACCGCTGCAAGGAGCTTGATCTGTCTTCCATATAGATTTACATTCAAAAGAATCCATCAAAATACGTAGAAGTTATGATTTTTGAGAATGATGCGCAGGAAATCTTGGACCAACTTGATACTGAGGGAATGCATCATTAATCTGAGAGGTGGAAAAAAACAGCTTATTAATAATGTGAATTTTGCTCCTTATTTCAACTTGAATGCAAATGAATAAAGAGTCTAAAGTCGCTGCCTTAGTGCCTTCCTATTCTCTATTTCTTGACTAGACCCTTGTTTTGAGTTCGTAACCAGGGAGAAGCAGGCAAATGCGTACTATGCCGCACAGACCCTGTACTTCCGAATAAACCTTCAAAATTATTTGTTTAGCACGATTCGAATCATGCTCCAGCAGATGCAGCGGTTTTGATATGCCCCAAACGCTTCTCATAGCCTTCTTTGTAATGTTTCAAGAATCCGGAATATTCCCAACATGTCATTGTTCGCTGCCTTTCATTCGGCGCATAAATGTGAGTTTTTACTGAGAGTAGACTGAGCTTGCAAAGTTTTTCTACATTTAATAAACTCATTACTGACCACGTGCCAGGACCAGTATTAAACGATGTCATCAAATGAGAGTAAAGTTCAGTTTTCTGGTGAAAGAAAAACATTCAGAGTTCATCAGCGATACGTGGAATCCGCCACCTGGATGATGACGAGTGGGTGATGAAATGCAGTCATGCGAGTGTAAGAGATCATGCGATCATGCATTCTCAAAATCATGTTTTCGAGTAGAAGCACTGAAGGAGAGAAGACAGTATTACGAAAAGAAAATTAATGCTTATCTGGTTTTTGTTTAGTAAAAAGAAACGTCTTTTTGCTTCTTCTCGAATGAGCTAAAAATGCTCATTCGTCCCGACTGAGCTAGTTTATTATAAAGAATCCTGCTTATAGTCTGAACCGTATTTTTTTTATTACGAGACAACTTAGACAAGTTCTTCCTCACGCCTCACGTAGCTCATGTCGTGTGTTATGACTCATTGTGGGTTGTGGGTCGACATTGGCCTAATATTTATTCGCAGCCAAAAAGAATCATTCTACTTCGTACGTGGACATATTCTATCTACATCAAACCATGGTTTATGCGATCACTTTACTTTTGATCTAGTGACTTAACATTCAAGCCTCTTGTGCTGTAAATTCTTCGTGCAGGACTAGATACTTGTCGTCAGTTTTACGCCAGATCTGCGTAAAATTTCCTTTTACCACTGGGCCTTTCTCCGGAGTGATCTCATAGTTAGCATTGACAATGATGTAATCGCCAGCCATTAGATAACGATCGTCACTTATCTGAAACTTGCAGATGTGTCGTTTCCCTGTCATCCAATGACGATTAGACAAGTAATTCTCAAGCTGTGTCTATTTTGAGGAATTACCTTAGCCGTTCCTTTACCAATTTTTTCTCTGAAGCTCTCATGCTCTTTCTTTAGGTCTGAATTAGGCGATTTCGAGAATGGCGAGTCAGTCTGGCTTCGGAATTTGTCAAGAACTCACCTTCTCTTCCGTATATTACCTTCTTTCCTTTCTCAATGAAGACTGCATCGGGATCAAACTGTGCAGCTGCCTAAAGTTGAGCTGTATTAAATTACTTTGGTAAGAAAGTTTTTGGACGTTTCTGGAGTAGATTTCTACCTAAGGGCGCATGTGGCTAATACACAGGGAGGAGTCCAGGATCAATGGAGGATTTGCCACGTTTTAACCTCTTTTTTCTGTCATTTAAGCTCAAATTTCATGCAACCTGTACATGAAAGCATGAAAGTATGTGTCTACAATAAAGAAGATTGTGAGGGACTGTCATAGCCTTCATGAAAAGAAGGGATCTGGGTTAGGTCCAAACTCTACGTTTTCGAGCGTTCGCCTTCATTTCATAGGAAACATTGGTGATGCATTATTCCTGCCGTACACTGCATGATCTTGCAAGACTACCAACACGTTTCGAACCGCGAAATCGCGCGCGGCGAAAAAGAGTCTACTTTTAGCCATTAGCCAACAAAGGGACCTTATTTCGTAGGCTGTGGGCATCTGTAATCAGCATGTCAGATAGCTCCATACCCAAGGTTCTGAGTGAATTCGAAGTGTTTGAATTTTGTCGCTTGGGAGGGACTTTTGTGCTTTTTTGAAAGATAGGAACGAGAACTCAGGTTCTAATAGTATTTGAAAGTATCTATGTTGCACGCGGTACACATCGTTACTCCGGTTTTTCTATGAAATCGAAGCAAATAAAGATTGCGACATCGCACGCGTTGTTTGCTTTGCCGCACTTCGTTGCAACTGTTGTTCGATTTGAGCTCATATCTCCTAAACAAATATCGGCGGCACAGCTTCATAAAGTCAATTGAAAAGTAGAAGCTTAGGCTTTTGACTTGATAACTTGGACTAAAAAAAACCTTCTGCGAACGTCAAGAAGATCATTCAAAGAAATGTGGTGTACCATGTGCAGCACTGGTCCGAAACGTGTTAACGTTAGCCACTGCTCATCGGCCTCTGCCACGGACTTATGTAACGCGCCAAACACTGTTTTATTCTAATATTACAGGTGCTTGAAGCCACACCATTCACGCCTACAAGGCGCACCTTTTCCGATTTTTCAAGCGGTTCAGCCGCTTCGCTTCATTTCGGAACAGGACCTTTGCGTGTGATTCTCTCGAGCGATAGTACAGTAGGTATACGATCCTCTGGTTACGAACTTCTTTGGCGTGTTTGGGCTTATTTTGGGATAAAAATCTCCCACGCCTTGTACGCGTGAAATTAGGGTACTACTACTACTACTGAATGAATGATGAATCAGTGAACGACAATAAAACATTGAACGGCAACATCGCTCCATGCTACCGATGGCCCGATCATGCTTATCTCCAACTATGCAATTCTCGAGGCCTCACCAGATCAGATTGGCCGCCATGCAAGGTCCCAAGTGACGGTACGATTTTCTTCGTTCTGATGACTTCATATCATCAATTAATCCATAGTAAGGTCGATTTTGCTATCGCGCGTTAAGGCGCTTTCAACCTCAACAAAGTGGGAATGCATGACGCTTCAAGGCAGTGTGTAAGCAAATCTAGCCCTCTTCAGTACCCATCCCGACTGCAGGTCCATGGAGAGGGTCATTTGCGTTGGTTTGGTCCTCTAATGTTGTCTCTGAATGGAGATAATGGACCTGAAACCGTGAGTACTATAAAGCCATGTCCAAATCCCATCAAATTCCGCCCAGCCAGGAAGCTGTTTGGATCCGCAGTATAGTGCTTCGAAAAATCGGGTTTATTGGGGGTTTTGCACATTCTAAACTTCATATCTGTGACCAGTGCCACGGAAAGCCCCAGAATGACAAACATGGAAGACAAAATTTTGGTTGACGCTGCCTTTCTACCAAAGCATATTGAATGCGAGTGCTGAAGGCACGAATGCAGTACCAGAATTGAGAAATTTATAAATAAATCAATGTAGACACATGTACGTGCAAATGACACCGCTCTCTCTCTCTCTCTCTCTCTCTCTTTATATATATATATCTTATATATAAAGCTGAATGTCTGTTTGTATGTATGTATGTATGTATGTCTGTATGTCTGTATGTCTGTACGTATGTTCCGAATAGAAAATTCCATTTCTGAACCGATCCGGACCAAACTTGGCACACATACACTTCGGGCCCCGGCCAGGGCCCGGCAGGAGGTGGCATTTCAGAATTTTAAAAACGATATCCCCCTTGAAACCAAAATTTCTTACGACTTTCCCTTTGACCCTATTTTTGACCCCCGTAAGTCCCTGACAAACAGATATACACAAATAATAAGATGGGCGGCCTCAGCGCTTATTATAGAAGTAGTACCTGGCTTTCCTGGTCCAGCCCGGGTCATCGTTTGAGGGGATGGCCAGAAACCACACTCTATCCTTCTCCTTTTGGGCCATATTCTCCACCCTTTTCCTGCAGTATCAATACTGCACTGCAGCCCTATATCTAAGATACTACTCATTTATTAGTCAGCTGCGAAACTTTACAATTCACAATAACAAAAACATAAACCTACACTATACAATTTCAATAACAAAAACATAAACCTACACTATACAACAACAATTTCATAACATTCATTTCATAACAACTTCAACAACTTCAACGGTCAAAACTCTTTTTCCTCTTTATACCATCTCGTTCTCGTATAACTTCTATTCACATAGATGCTACAAACTCCATCTACTTGCAAAGATAGAAAAGCTCTTTCTGAGACATAATTTTGCATCTTTTTCAATATGGCTGCTGAACGAGAAGCTTTAGCGCTACAAAGAAAGCAGCCAGCGAAATTGTGGCAAACGATAGACCAAAAAAAGGGAATGTGCTTCGCGGATCGATCGAAGTTGCTTTGGATGACTCAAAATATGCAAGTTCTCTAAAGGGCATGTGCTAAGAAGTCACCATGAAAGTGGAATGCGGGTTTGATTTGATCCGAAAAAAAAAGATAACTCGAACGCAACTAACAAGAAAAAGCAAGCACAACAAATGGAACAAGCAATTTTACATTCCTAGTTTGAATTTTTGATAGCATAATCATATTTTCATTGTGCTTCTGGTCTGGACGATCCCTTAGGCCCTCGACATAGTTCACGCGATTTGATCGGTATTATCGGTAAAAGGACATTTGAGAATTTTCACTGCAGACAGATGCTTGAAAACCGAAAAAATGACATACTTGATGAGGTCAACATCGAAAGCATTAGTGAAGCGTTTCGTTGAACTTGCTTCATGAGATAAGTCGTCAGGGAAAGATTTTTGATCTGCTCATCAAAAAAAATGATTGTAAAAATTAACTGCTGGACATGATGAATCGACAAAGTTTTGTCAGAGACGATCGGACATCGGGCCGTGACTTGTGCAAGCTGGCAGAGAGAGCGCACATTTTGGAAAACACTGCACTATCCCCTCCCCTCGAAAAATCTCGGCTTCCGCAGGCCAGCCAGCAACCCGACACTGGCTTCGAAAATGTTGTCAAAAAACATGCTGTCCCATCAGCGTAACGCATCAGCTTCGCTGCTAGGCTAAGAGCGTTTTTGGCCGAGGATATTTGAAACGGCAATCTTAGGAACAACAAAAAAAACAAAAATCACACAAAGATTATGTCTATGAAATCGAGGCAAACAGTCTCGTGAACACTGAGAATGTGGATCAAATCGCGTAAGCTCTGTCAGTAATAAATGATCGTCCAGACCAGGTCTCGCTGATCCACAAGAATATTGGAGGCAATAAAGGAAAACACACAAAGAAAAAACAAAAAAGTACAAATGTGATGTACAAAAACGAATGCAAAAATTCGATGTAATATAACATATTTGCATAAATGCACCATTCCACCTACCTGAGATAGTCCGAATGAGCCTCAAATTGGTGGACTTAGTGCGAGGTGCTGTAGTCGAAAATTCTGACATGCATGTCATCTGAGCCGGTAACAATGCAGTTTTTGCGTGAAATAAACTTGGCAGCGCGCACTGGCAAATCACATATCTGAAGAATGCGCAAGATACTGGATTGAAACATAGTAAGCAACATAAGGCCCCAGCCAGACTTCAGTTGAACAGCCCAAAACCGCTCAAAAACACCGAAGGCCCCTTTTCACGAGAGATGAGCTATCTTGAGCGGAGTCTGGCCGGGGCCTAACATACAAAAATACATGAAAATTCAAAAAAAAATAAACCTACTTTGAAAGACTTCAGAAGCAGCTGACTCTCGTAATTCCAAACCTGAGCACTTCCACTGTGAAGAGCTGCCAATAGCCACGTTTTGAAGGTCCACCGATTTAACTCGACTTGTCAAAAACATTTCCTCAACTTTTGATGACAGCATGCCTACAACAACCAGTATATAAAGGAAAACGAAGAAAACAAACGACTCAAAAGAGCGAAAGTACGGAGAAATCGACCATATTGCGAAAACTGAAGAAACACGATTACAAAAACAACTGTTTGCATAGGATATCACGACGAAATATGATCTCTGGCCCTTCTGAGCCCTTGTAGGGCTTGTCGAAGAAGCAATCTATTCAGAAATCGTGAAGATTGCTTCAATCAGCGATCACCAATTCAGAAAAGTCACATTCTCGAAGTTTCCGCGTCGTCTGTGCAAGGTGCACCGATCGCGATTGGAGCGCGCTTTCCGAGGCCGATCATAACGCTGTGAACCTATTTGGGGCTGTATCTAAGCGGTGCCTTGGTGGTTTTGGAAGCGGATTTGAACATGTAGTAATACTCTCGACCTAGTCCACATTTATGTAAAGAAATCCGGGAAATTATGTGAAGGGAAGCAGGGAGCCACCCCAGGTGGCTCCCAGGTGGCGCGGGAGCCACCTAATTTCGAAAAACACTTACCGTTTTTATAATTCACATAAGTTTTTCATAATTTTTCATACTTTTTTTGTGCTCATGGTCCTCCAACTATACAGCAAATTTGGTGCCTTATCGTTACTTGTGCATTGAAAACAAGCCTATTTTGTTGTTTTCCTCTTACAAGAATTGCGATTTGAATTCCCGCCTGCGGGAAGGCTAGCGAGCTGTAATCTAAGTTCATAGAGCAGT